ATGATAAACAAGATATAGCAATGAAAGAAAGTTATAGTGCTTAGAAGGAGGCAATTCCGGGAGAAGTCCCTTAGGAATAAATTCGGAAAAATTAATTTCCGACCTCGCTGGGATTCGAACCCACGACCTTCGGATTTGTACACCGATGCTCTACCAGCTGAGCTACAAGGCCAGACTGGGAGCAGGTCGGGGTGAAATAGATGTTAAAGTTGCGGTAATAGAATAATGTAAAGATATGAATATGAAGACCGCATGGCACTATGATAAACAAGATATAGCAATGAAAGAAAGTTATAGTGCTTAGAAGGAGGCAATTCCGGGAGAAGTCCCTTAGGAATAAATTCGGAAAAATTAATTTCTGACCTCGCTGGGATTCGAACCCACGACCTTCGGATTATTATGTTATTATCTGTCACTTTTTCAATGCAGATATCCCTTCGATCGGAAACAAATGGACCTTTCTTAAGTTGTAATTTTTTTGTAAAGTTTTTGTTAAATTTTCTGGATAAATTGTAATTGTTGTCATAAAAATGATAGCAAAAGTTAAACAAAAGCACTTTAATAGTGACAAGCTATCCATTAACAAAAGCTCCATATCTCAAAGTGGAGCAGCGAAAAATCCAAGGTTTTCAAGTGGATATCTGCACAAACGTCAAAACGTCAAAACATCCGGCGATCTCATTAAGCGATACACATTTTATCATGTTCAATTTGCTGGCGTCCTTATGTCCAGATGAATTATAAGCTTTAAGGGTGGATCTACCAACAATTCCATTATGTACGAACAGTACTTACCATGGGTGCTGGTAGACGATATCCTTCTTCAACCCGATCCATTACCTGAAATGGAACATTACAAAAACGCTGGTCAACTGCAATGCATTTTGAGCATATAGCGTGCATAGCAATAACATAAAACATCGATCGTGATATTTCGGCAGCATCACTGCAAAGTAAGCAGCTGCATAGAGTGGATTTCGTATGAGTGGGACACCGTTACCGCACGATTACCGCACAGTTACCGGACCTGGCCTGCAGAATTTTGATGAAACAATGGGGCACTAGAACTTGGTTACAGTACGATTACGGTCACCCTACAGTACCGTCCGTTTCCCACTCATACGAAATCCGCTCTATCTTTTGGTAACGTAAAAGATTTACAGAAACTTCTGATGTGGTGACAGAATTAGCAATATTACAAATTCTAACCTGGAAGTTATCCCAGTCCCAGTAAGGTCTGTCTGAAAATGACATTATTTCCCAAAGAAGAATCCCAAAGCTCCATACATCACTAGATGAGCTGAATTTCCTGTAACGAATGGCTTCAGGTGCTGTCCACCGTATTGGAATCTTACCACCCTAATTCCAAAAAGAATAGAATTCAAACTGAAATGTTGCTTTATGAAACTCTTTCCATTATGTTTTTATGAGATTGTTTTTTATGAGATCAAAAGGTAGAATTTCAAACTCCATGTGGTCATTGGCATACCTGGGTTGTGTACTCGGAATCTTCATTATCTTCACTCTCGTTCAATTCGCGAGATAGACCAAAGTCTGACACTTTACTTGCCATATTATCAGCTACAAGAATATTACGAGCTGCCAGGTCCTGCAGAAAACAAATTAAATACGAATGGAAGTTATCAAGTCTTTTGTTCGAGAAGCTCGATCGAAAGATGGCACCTAAATTTACTGTCAGATTTTTTCCATTTGTTGGATTTCTGTGACAAAGTGGGGAAAAGGAGACGGACTACAAAGGGTGTAAGATACTCTTACTCAGCTAACACAGGACGGCCGTTATAACTGGATAGACGTTTATAGATTTTATGGTTTTGGTTTTGGCTTTATCACTTCCACATTCTTACCCTGTGTATAAAATTTATTCCAGACAAGTATGTCATTCCAGCAGCTACGCCTCTTGCCATACCAAGTAACTGAAGCACTGTCAACTTGCCATCATGAATCTACAAACACGCCGGGTCAGTTAAATAGCAAGTAATAACTAGAAATATAATATCCAGCACCATGCATTCTTATCAATACTATTATTATTATTCACCTTTAAGAAATGATTCAACGACCCATTCTCCATAAACTCCGTCACAATCATCATTGGTGTGTCAGGACTACGTGTTACCACGCCTTTCAGTTCAATGACGTTGGGATGTTTGAATTGCCCCATGATCGATGCTTCTAGGATAAAGTCTTCTCTACTCTTATAAGAAGCATTTGGCTATAGAGAAAATGTTGACAATAGTAGGCTGTGCATTGATGCGCGCTGTATTTTCTTGCGATATGCTTGATATGATGTAGGTAATAACGTRAGATTTACCTTAAGGATTTTAACTGCAACGACCTCAGTGTCTGTGCCTTTTTTGAGAATCCCCTTGTATACCTCAGCAAATTCGCCTAAAGTAAAAAGATTCTRTGGTATTTGTTTAAACTTATCAATCTATAAAGCTTAAATTCATGAAATAGAGTGCTTTCAGTAGAGTGTTCGAACTTAAACCGTGCAACTGTAYAAACTAAATAGTGCTATATATTTTGAGTTGTATTTAGTAAATTAGTGCATGCTGTAGAGTGCTCGCACTTAAAGCGAGCAACTGTACAAAATCTAAGTAGTATTAATTTGCGTACCGCATGCACGATTTACTAAATACAACTAAATAGAACTATTTAGTTTGTACAGTTGCACGKATTAAGTGCGATCACTCTACGCAAATTAAATTGAATTGATACAAATGAAGCATTCAATGCCATCTTGCTTCATGTCCACTTTTAGTACAAATCAGTACTACTTAGATTTTGTACAGTTGCACGGTTTAAGTGCGATGACACAAGCAAATTATATAAATTATGAACAAAAACATTATATGAGCATTCTACATTTAATTTGGCACTTGTAATATATTGGGTTCTTTTCAGCAAATCTCCCAATATAGTTAGTATATCAATATAATTAATTGCGACATAATAGTCGTTACCTCCTCCGATGTTTTTCTCTAATTTAATATCATGGCAGTCAATTTCTTCCGTATTTGAGAGCAGTGCTTCCATTGGGCTTCCATATGTGCTTGGGTCAATATACATCTTTTGGCCGTCATCAAGGGGTATCATTTCGGTTGAAAACATCCAAGAGCTTGTATTGCCCATATCACCACTCTTGCTCGAGCCACTGTAAAAGAGAATGAAGTGTATAGAACTCTGTCAAAGCAAGACAATTGATAACTCTGTAGCAAACAAACCTTAAAAGAGGATAATGAGGCTCTATATGCATGGCGGTGCTGAGGATAGTGGTAAAGGGGGAGGATAAGAGTTCGTCCAGTTCCTATAGATCCGCCACACGTGCGCGCAAGGGCAGTATCTTATCACGCATATATATATATATGTTAAGTTCAATTCAAGAAAAGGATTTTGTTTCGTTGTTGTTGTCGTCGTATGTACTAGAGAACGGTAGTGTGTCCATTTCCTTGTTGAAAATATCTCAAGTCTCAGATCTATTCTTACCTCCTTTTATAAATACAAACAATAAGGAGAACTATGATGAAAACCAACAGTACTAGAACACCAACTACGATAGCGATTAACAGCTCTTTCTTGATTGGAACAGCACCTAGAACAACGAAATGAACACAAAATAAATCACTAAAACCCTCCTTAAGCAAGAAATTTGTATCCAAACAACATGGTGAACCAACATATTGTTGATCATCAAKGAAAATCGTAGATGCCTGTAAACATTCTATTAAATCATTGAACGACTGACATAACCGAGCACGCATATATTTTTCTCCATAAGATATTCAAGCAATTTGGCCAAACGACAAAATATTGGAMAAGTCCCTGARTACAAAACTTACTAACAATGGAAGTTAAAGTGACTAATTCTTTAGCACGATATTTTTAAATCAAAGAATTGATGCCACAAAGATAAGTACCTTTATACAATGTGATAAGGATTACTTGGCTTTGACTTATCATTTACTCAGTTTTATGGCTTGAGTATAAAGTAGTTGTTTAATATAACTCATACCAGGTTTTTTYTTRCCGTCTTTTTTCTTTGTCGTCAATTTTTTAGAAGCTGGCTTCCCAAGCCCCTCCTTTGTACTTGCGCGTATCTTAATAGAAGGGAAGTGAATTAAGAGAATTAACAGATCTAGAAGTGAGCTAAGAGAGAAGCCAAATTTATGAATTTTCGTCCATACAAACTAAGCGATGCCAATTGGTGAGCTTTTTGTAGCAATTCGTTGTTTGAGTCAACATGAATCCCATTCAGAATGCCTTCCTTCTTTTATCTTGTCATTAAAAAAAATGGGGTCGGATAGCCACCCTATTCGCCCCCTCTGTAACCGCCCTTGTCATTGCTGCACCGCTCGTCAAAACGAAATTTTATCCCGTATAGCCCCGAACTATTCCTAATATACATCTATTTGTTCCTTCAGTTAAACACCCGGCTCCATTCTATCGGATCTGAATGAATCAGCAACTGAATGATAACTACGTAATGGGTGAAAAGAGTCACAAAAATGCAGTAAGRTTTTCTTCTGAGCAGGATTTAGATAGTGATTTTTTAAGGCGTTTGCACTCTTTCTCTTACCTTAAATATATACGTCTTTTGCGGCTTTAGGCCTTTTATAATTATACTTGTCTTTGTAGTATTTTTTGTAAGTGTGTTCTCCTCCTTATTCAGCTCATGATATGTCACTTGATAGTATGTAATAAGCCCGTTCTTCTTCTCAAGCTTCCACCTCAGCTTTATTTCTGTGGAACTGATTTCTGGGCTCAGTAATTTCGGGACTCCTGGAACTGATAAGAAATACAATTATTAAAGTCCATGACACTGCTATTTACAGCCAAACCTACTGAAGCGTTCCTATCGAGGTTGGAAGGCTCGATTTATTATTCCAAATTTGGTTCCAAATTTATATTTAACCCTCTGATGCCAGCACTTTAGCATTATGGTTCGAATTCGAACCATGCTTTGAAAAATTGCAAGTTTCGTAAATCGTGAGATTCGAATTCAAACACTGCTCAAAAGAGAAAAACAACTAGCAGACTCAATTATAGAATAGGAAATGCAGTCACCAATACACCTTTTCCATCGAAAAAGACAGCTGTGCTAATGTGTATACGCTATATAAACATGCGTTTTTTACTGGCCTGGACAGCAGTGGGGAACTCCTATTTATAACTTAAATTGCAGTGCGAAAATGGCCTTCTCAAGCATAAAATGGGTTTTGTGGAGAATCTCCATCCTCAGTCTCTTGAACAGTTGCACTTTTGCTTTGTTAAATTGTTTTCAGAGCGACCAAAAGCCCCCTTTTTGGGACTCACTACAGCAAACACAGTTTTCTCAGATGCACGACCGAACAGCATCATGGGATATGTTGATTCAAATCGACAGGGATGTCCAGCAATCCTGTTTTTATATAGATATTTTTAAGTGCCAAGTCACTCGCACCTACCGGTAAAATATTGCACCGATTGCCTTGTTTGGGTGTTAAAACTTGCCAAATTTACCTTGGTAGGGTCTGAAATCCGCTACAGAAAGACTTGGGATACGATATTTCTCTAACGACAACAATTCAAACTGACATTCGCATTGCCGCCATTGTCTTCGAAAAATCGCTCCCCACTCCTGATTTCTTCCAGAAGAGTGTCTTAACCGCCTAGTCTAGCTTAATGATGCAGGCCTAGGGGCTTCTGTAGCAGAAAATGACTCGAAAAAAACACTTATAAACGCTTTTTTGGCGAATTTGAGACCGTGCGCTGGCTAATCTAGCAAGCAATCTCAAATTAGCCGTGCGTTACAGAAAGCCACGTTCCCTAGGGAATATGAATCCATTATAATTTGATTGACAGCACCTTTTATGGAGCTCGAATGTTTTTTTAATCTCTTGAATGTAAAAACGGCCCTAACTCGACAAAACTGAGCTGGCATCAGAGGGTTAAACGTGCAAAAACAAAACCGACAATGCAAATTTCAAATCTGACGTCGATTTGAACCTCGATTCCTGATTGGATTATTCCAATAATAAAACTAAGTGCATGTTGGGTAAAGCGCGGGAATGACGTTCACTCGTTCGCGGCAGTGCATTCCAAAAGTTGTTTCACGATGTCGACGATACAAGGATGGTTTCTGATGCTTCCAAACCTCTATGTCCTCCAGATTAGAATATGTCAAAGCAACAGGCTGCTTACCGCTGTGTCCTAACGGATTGAAAGAGCCATACCGACGATAATGTTCGATGACGTTTGTTACGCACCGAAGAGTTACGCGAAGCTAGCCGTTCAGAAACTTCCGTTTTTGTGAGTCCGCCGTTAAATAATTGTATAATGTGTTGTCTTTCAGCAATCGATAAAGGTTTTCCTGGGGTGTACGGCCTCTGAAGACTATTCACCGCCGCCATTTTTTTTTCGAAATATGCAACGTACTGTTTATGTTTGGAATAATCCAATCAGGAATCGAGGTTCAAATCGACGTCAGATTTGAAATTTACATTGTCGGTTTTGTTTTTGCACGTTTAAATATAAATTTGAAACCAAATTTGGAATAATAAATCGAGCCTTCCAACCTCGATAGGAACGCTTCAGTAGGTTTGGCTGTAATACAATAAAGGTAAGTAGTATAGTATATTTTGCTTCTCATGAAAAATGGCAGCAACAATACACATTTGATTTGATACGAGTTTTCCTTAACTCCACATGACTTCAGAGTGCTTATTTCGTATGACTTATTTCAGAGTGCTTATTTCGTATGAGGCATGTCAGGGGCGGATCCAGCTGGTGGGTGCAGGGGATACCCACCCCATTCTGAGATCTGTATCCTTCCATAATTCACTTATTTTGTATCTTCATGGTAATGATTTTTTGTGGGGTGCACCCCCTACTGAGAGTGCCCCGCACCCCTCCCCTGAGGAAAATCCTGGATCCACCCCTTCATGCAGGCACAATATGGTACGGATCTCTATGTATGACTGATCCCTTTTCAACGTCCAATAACCACGAAGAAAAGGAAATGGCAACGGAGAATTGAAGTGTGGTTTGATACAGAACTAGAGTGATGTACTTGTTGGGCAATGAATSAGCACTAACTTTTCTTCTCACCATTATGATTATTTGAGTCTGGCRAAAATTGGGCAGGACGCGAATCTTTCAGAGGATTTCTAGGTCTATTGCAGGCATTGTCCTTTCTCGTTTTAGGCAGTGTGTAAGAATGCTATGCTKTTATAACATGAAATTGTTTTAKCTCTTACCTGATTGCTTAGTCCTTCGAGSAAGAGGTAYGAACTGTGGTTCTCTRYYATCYCTCATTTCCGCTAAACTAGACATTCCATTCTTAGCAAATATCTTAAACTCGTAATAAGTATAGGGAGACAGAAATTGGACAGTGGCATTTCTACTGGTTCTTGGAGTATGCGAGATATTAGCACCGGTACAGTTTGTGATGCAATCCTTGCGTTCGTCGTTACACTTCTTACAATGAATTTCATAGTAAATATCTAATCTACTTCCAAGATCCAAGGGCGAGGACCATGAAAGCTGTAGAGACGTTGCATTAATGAAGGGTGTTTCTGGAGATCTAGGTTTTGATGGTGGACCTAAGTGAACAATGTAATTGACAGTTTTCGTAACTGATATTAGTATACTTTTCTTGTAGTACACGGAACTCACACTCAGTCAATTGACCCCCTCCCATATGAGTTTGACTTCGAAGCTCTGAGTAGTGATTTCGTATATTCAATATAAGCTGTTATGTGCTGTTATATGGAAGATCTATCAGAATGCGACATTTGTGAGAAGTTTGAGCTTGGATAACATTTCTAATTGACAGGATGAAAACCTTTTGTTCTTATAATTAGTCAAACCCTTTCTGAAAAGATTATTACTTCTTAAAGTTATCAATGCTGAAAGTAAAATCCTTCAATCATAAGTAATTTATAAATGTTATACTGAATTTTCTGTTTTGAATATATTCGGGGGAAAAACACGTACCTGTACAGGTGTCCATATAGGTTTCATTATCAAACCTGTAATAGCCAGGCTTACATGCGCACATAGTTCGATTTGAGTTCACTCTGCTGTTAAGAGGGCATTTGGTACATGAGGCATTACTTGCTGTATCTTGATATGTTCCATCAGGGCATTCTGAATATACACATCAATACGATAATACAGACATTAAGCTAGTTTCTCATAAAACAAAAGCATTCACAAATACTGTTGAACATTTACTGCGCGACATTCTTTAATTGACGGAATATATTTTGGAGACAATATAAAAGATTGGCACACCAATACTCTGACAAATTTATATATAGCGTGTGCGATGTATTGTATGGTTCATAAAAGTCTTCTATTTTTAATATATTCGGTATGTAGATATAATCCAATCCAATGCTATGCATAAAATTGCCAGTGCATTAGACAACCCTCAATATAAATGCTTTTTATGAATTAGGATCATGACGTCAAAGTGGCTCCCCCTCTTTATGCTCCACTCGGCCGTTGATATGCCATTCACTAATAGGGAAAGTAGTTTACGCACTTACTTTTACAAGATGCACTGGTTCCATTTAAATACTTTCCAAACCCTGCCATACACAAGCATTCACCACCTATTGCGTCACTACTCCATTCACCATTAGCCATGCAATTTCCATACAAGGTCATATTATCAGCCAATGGCTGAGCGTTTTGAGCACAAGATCCTCCAACCTGTATTGTTCCGTTAGCTGGTGCAATCGTTTCAGTTAGATGAACAAGATTTGATGACAAAGCCATAGAAGAACAAAATGAATAGCTCAAGATCACTTCGAACAAGCGAAAGCATCCACCTTGGTATCGAATGGCAAGATAGAAGTATGGTATGGAACGATTCGTGAAGAAAGAGTAGGTCTCGTTATTTATCTTATCGAGATTTTGGGACATGGATCTTGGTTTCGTGGTTCCAAATTTTCGATAAGATCCAATATTAACATTGGGTTCCGGGACCTTGTTCTGTATATTGTTATAGCGCTTCAATGTTTTGTGGACGAATAATTGTAAGTTATCCTTGCAATGTTTGAAATCTGCTCTGCATTCAGTAACGGCGTACTTTAATGTTACGTCGACCCTTGTTGCGTTTTTAACATGATTTCTGTGACTTCTTAACCAGAAGTTGGGTTCTACTGAAGGTTTTATGTCACACACAGAGTAAACTGGCTTTCTTAATCCTGGTCCTTCATTTTTCGTCCACTTTGGTTTGAAAGTGATAAAAAAAATTATCGATGCAATATGAGGGAAGATGGAAATGATGATCTTGATGACAATATTGCTAAAATATTCTGGCAACACGCGTCGATACAGAGATAATAATGATGGAAAACGACAATGAAATTAGAACGGAAACTCTGCTTATATAGCTCAACAATATCAATATTGATCAAATAACGATAATAATAATATCCCAATTACCTCTCCAGTACTTTTCCACGGCCAGATATATTTACTTCCGTCATGAATTTTTCGTGGTACCAGCTTCAAAGTTTCTGAAAAAAAAAATCTGAAAGCTGAAAGCTGAAATAATAGAGAAAAGGGTTTGAACATTTGGCCCTCTGGCCGGGGCTTTTTCAAATGGAAATACTGAGGCAAGGGATTTCAATGACCACAAAGGCACAAGTTTAATACTTACTGTTTTTCGCTTCTGTTAACGAGCCATTCAAGTAAAGAAAAATTAAAACTAACGCCCTTCCAAGAAGCATCGTCAATATTGCATTGGTACTACGGAAAAATATAATAGTACAATAAGTAACCAACATGGAAGGCTTTCAGTGATATTTCATACCCGGCGGGGGTACTCCCATATATTTGCTATACGGGGACGTGCCGCTGGCCAGGGTATGGTTTTTGGCCTTGCTGTCTTAAACAGGGTATACATTTCACGAAATTGTCTTAACCGGGCTCTACAATTTAGACAAAAGACCGATATAATTTTTTGTGTGTAATGTTTTCATAAGAAATACCGTAGAAATACCGTTTCACTGTCCCAGKATTAACGTGTTATCAAAAATTTCTTATTGTCTTTGATGGATTTCAGTATAATTGCACTTTTGATGGTTGCAGCGCAGATAGCTATTCCTTATTTTTCCAATTTGTCTTGAACAGGGTATGGATTTTCACTTTTTAGTGTCTTAAACAGGGTCAGGGATTTAGACCGCTGGCGGCACGTATCTATCCAAAACGGGATCGAGTACCCCCCCCCCCCCCCCCCCTTCCCGGGATTTCATATCGATAAGGTTTGAAAGAAGAGAAAAAAACTAATCGTGAGAGTACTGGGAAAAAGGGAATCAATGTCCATACTTTGTTAAAAGTATTCGGTGAGAGAGAGTGATATGCTGATGAGATGATGATCAGATGATCAGAGACGATGAAACTTAAAAAGAAAGTTCTAAAAAGAAAAAGTAAAAATACGAAAACAGAATTCAAGGAAACAGAACACCATTACCAACAACTCCTACTCTTCAGCTGAAACAAGGAGAAAAAACAATGTATAATGGCAGAAAAAAGACAGAGGGATGACAAAAACGTATGAAATACGGCTAGGATAGCGCTTTCCATTTCGTTTTGTATAAATTGTGCATGTCTCCCAGCCCTAATAATCAGGAATAGGGTTCATTTTGAATTTTCCTATAGGTCAAATTGTACCGCTTTTCCTATCATATGAAAACTTCCCTATAGACAAACCTTTTAGTGAAATAAGGAAATACTACTCGATTTTATTTCATCACAGCCCCGTGTTAGCTTGCCATTTATTTGTCGATTCAGTTCTTTCTTCCATTTGTTATGTTTTTAAACATTTATCTAATCACTCTTGTCGGTCATTCACCTTTGTACCGACTCATTAACTAATTAGCTAATACAATCAAAACTAATGGGCTATGACCTGCATTCAAGATCACTTTGAGGGCCTCCCAGAGGTTTTAGGGGGATTAAAGGAGGTCGGCGGGGACCAGGGAAGAATGCCTATTGCGTAAAAACTTGACTGGAGCTTACATTCGTGGAGAGATGCACACAACTAGGAGTCAAGGAAGCATATATGCAGCCCCRAGTAGTCCTCACTGTCAACATATCAAATTCTGCTACAGAGAGTGAAATGATTTTAAAGATGAACACGCTTTAACACGTTTCAGCACGTGCTTATATNACTTTCCTCGTTGAGTGCACGCGTAGTTCCTCTTTGACTTTGCCAGTCCTCTTGCCGAGACGTGTACATGTCACGATGTCAACCAGTCACGCAATACAGTACTCAAGTTTATATGATCCGCGGAGCGGCTATAGGAGAATGCGCTCTTCATCTCGATCCGTGAAATGACCTATTTTCTAATCAGCGCAGGCAGTAGCAACTTTAAGGTTCTGTTAAAGGAAGGTTTTGAAAGTTACTAACTATCCGGACAGTCTGTTTCGATTGGACCGTATGTGATTTCAATAGATTTTGAACTGATTGTATCTTTTGAAGTTTCTTTGTTTTAGGTATTTCTTATATATGCCCAGGTGCAGTATTTTTGACCCCCTATGTTACATGGGCGGAAAGCAAAGAGGATAAAAACGATAGGATCTATAAGATCTAATTTTCCGCAGTCGACCATTTGATCGTTTAGGACAAACTATTGATCTTTGTGATCCATGAACTTAGCYTTATCCGCAGGCTACTAGGCTCAATCAAAATAACGGCGTAACGCCTCTGAATCCGACAATCACGAGGAAGGCATAGGGAAGTGTGACGTCATCCCRAGCTAAGCCTGAAGACGAGGCTAATATCAAACGACAMAGAAACACCAATTACATTACGAATGAATTCGTCTTWAAAGTTGCACATTTTTATTAAAATTTTCTATCGTTTTACTTCGGCAACACATATTACTATCATGGAAGATGCACACAATGTAAAAATGCCTGTTTTTCTGTGCATGGATTTGAGATAACCATTATGTACTGTCAATGGATGACATGCGCAGTAACAGTCTCACCTCTAACGGACTTTGAAAGTATAACCTTCGAGGTAAATCATTTTGTGGAGCTTTTGACACACTTTGGAATATTCTAGATCTGTTTACGTTTACGAGCTGAATTATGTCGCGCCAACTTGGAGTCATAAACTTGAAAACACTAGCCTAGTGTTTTCAAGTTTACTCGCGCATGTCATCCATTGACAGTGTCCCTTTAACAAGGCATTTTTAGTGCATGAAATACTTAAATTTAACCCTTCTACATTTCTCAATGAAACTTCAAAGCTTCTCGTTTGTATACGTTACTAATGTAATAGTTGGAAGAGGCCTTCAAAAACAGATAATATCTAAACTGGTTAGTCTTTCATTGTACATGGCCTTTCACGAAAAGTGACACAGGAGCTCCGAAGAGTAGCGCAGCGGAGGAGGCTCATTAGTCATAATTTTACCTTCCATGTAATACGGYAGGCCGTACCGTATTTACAGTCTTGTTGTATTAGTCTGTGTGATTTATTATAGAAATGTATAAGCACGAACGATTTTGATATTTTTATATACAATACT